AAAGTCTGTAAAGATGTGGTATTTTCATGTTTTAAAAAGAGAAGACAGTGATACTGTGTTACTGGCTTATTAATGGATCTTGACTATCTTGAAGTTTTTTTATCTGCCTCTTTTAGAGCAAGTGAAGGTATTTGGGAATTGGGAGTCTAACAATTTTCTGGCAGGTTGCTTTAAAATAAAATGTCAGCTGTCTGAGACTATTCAGGGAGTCAAGACAGATTTCTAGAGAAATCTTGGGATTTTTCTGTTAAGCAGAGGCCAACTGGGACAGTCCAAAGTGCTCACAACATCTTTCACATCAGATTTACTATTTATTATAGGCTTTCATTTCTGCATATGTAAACCACTTTGGTAATCTAAGACAGGCTCAGCAGCATGTGCTATCTAGCATTCTTGTGATTTACTCATCTCTTATCATAAGAAACTTTCGTGCTTCCCATATATGGGGACCATGTGGGTATTTCACATGGACTTCTACTGACCCATTATCCATCATTTTTCTGTAGATTGGATATTTTTTTCTTTTTAATTTAGAATCTTCTATGTTTCTGCACACAATTAAGAAAATAAAGTGAACACATAGTTGGAACCAGCAAGCAGGACAGCTGGAACCAACAGAACAGGGAGTTTCATAGGGATTTTTTCAATTTTCTATTCCAGGAAGGATGATGAAGACAAAGATGGCAATGGTGGAAATCCTGAAATTGGCACAAGCAGTGAAGGTGTTCAAGATGTAGAAAGTATGCATTCTACATCACTCTGGTGCTTTTTGTTGAACTTTATTAATAGATGAAGTGTTTCAGTTAGTAGAGGTTCTAGAAGCAAAGCTCCGGGGAATGGAAGTGCAACTAAAGATAATCTGAGGTTCTGTGGAAGAATAATGTTGTACAGGAGAAGCTAAATTAAAGAGGGGGGTTACAGTGTAGGAACATGGAAGCAAGATCAAGACAGACTTTCTTGTTAAAATAAAATCTAAGGAAAAGCAGCAGCAGCATGTGAGGAGTTGCAAGGAAGAAGGAAATGCCAATCAATAGGAAAGAACAGAGGAAGAAGTAGCAGTATTCATCAGGAGCCAGAGCCTAAGGCAAAGCGTGGTGACCAATCATGACATTGTGCATACAGACGAACTGGAAGAAAGAACCAACAAATCATACCAGTATTAAGTCACAGTGCAGCATATGTTACTAAAGGGAATAGGAATGGTTATTACATGAGGTGATCTAGATGAAGGAAGGGTATGCTGTCTTCCAAGAGCAAAGGTAGATACAAACCTGCTGCTGAGAAGTTCTGATGTGAGTTTGAAAGTAGCCACTGATTATCATTCATTTTGGAACAAATAGTGAAATAAAATTTTCCTTTGACATAAAAGTAGCTATACTTAGCTGAGAATAGGTGAAGATTTAGCATATTTTTGATTAGAAGAAATAGCATGGAATCACATTCTGAACATCTAGTCTGTTCTCCTCAATGCCAAGGCAGAATAAACTATAATTCTAAATACACTTGAGGGGAGGGAATTTTAGGAGAAGGAATAAAATTATTTTAGTTCAAGGGTGATATCAGCACTGAGTGAATATTACAATTCAGTCATGAATAACTACGTTCTGAAGTAGAGTTCAAACAGGGTCGTGTGGGCAGAATATCAAAATTCACTTTAGGATCAAGTTTGCTAAGCTTATGGAAGAGATACCTCTAGGAATTCTACTTTTTGAGACTTGTCCTATGCCCCATTTTCTGAATTTCTGTGTATGTTGGGATATCTGAAGTTTAAAAGACCCCAGATTCACTTTTTGCTATCATACTGTAGTACTTCAGTTCTTCCTAGCTTCTGACAGTTTCCCTGAGGACCACAAAGTATTTGCTTTTTAGTATAAGTACAGAACTTGATAGGAGAACCCCAGTCTTTTCTCTCTTAAGGTTTGGAGAGTGGCAATATTTAAAGGTGATGTATAGCAGAAGTGCTGGTGTTTCTAGTGACTGACTTCTCTGGGTGTCTTATTGGTGCATACTGCTTGTGTTCAGAGCTGAAGCTTGTGGGGGGAAGAAGGAATATTTAGCCCCTTCATCAGATTAAGAGGAAGCTTTAGGTTCTCCTGTAGTATCAATGGTGGCCCACTTGTTTAGGGTCGCCTGAAGCAATCTGCGACCCAAAGTCTGATCTTGGTTAGGGCCTTATCCATAGTCTACTAAGATCAATGAAGTTTCTCACATGGGACGCTGTAAATGCATGTAAACTACTTAAGCTATTGAGGCTACATGGACTTCTCAGAAAACCAAGTTCAGCCTAGTAATTTTCTTGGAACAGATTTGAACTTCTGCACTGTCAGCAGGTAAAAATGGATTTGTGTGAGTGCAAAGAGTATGTTGTGTAATTAGACTTGTTAATTTCCCATTTCTGCAAGATGGGCCATTACCAAAGTGTATTTTGTTGTCCATCTTGAAAATCTGTGGTGGATCATGTATCGAATCTGCTTCAGGGCCTTGTGTTACTGATGTGATTTTTAGCATTCTAATGGAAGTGAGCCTGCTGGAATTTAGTGGGAAATAGTGGTACTGCTGTTAAAAAGTACTGAGGCGAGCTTTTCAGGGAGTTCCTTTAACTATTGTTTTATCAAAAATAATACGACCATTCAGGTTTTTCTGTGTTACTCTGGATTTGGTCAGGACTAACTCTGAAGTCATACTTGAGATGTACTTTAATATTATTCAGTGACGAATTTGGGCTAATACTTAATTCTATTATTTTTTCCTGCTTCTTTCAGTAAAAAGAAATTAAATAAAAAGGGGATCTGGAATATTAAAGGGGGTAGGAAATGCAATATAAAGAACTCTAAGGGAAGCACGGTGGTTTTGTTTCCCTCAGAAACAAAGGAGTAGGAATCAAGGAAGCAAAGAGGAACCACAGGTGCCAGATGTGTCTGTAGTTATATTCCTATGTATTATCTATGTTCAGTTTTGGAATACTGGTTGGCTGTGAAGGAGACATGAAAACAAATTCAACGAAGAGGTGACTATGAGAAGTAGGTGACTCTGAGAAGTCCTGTTGTTTCCTTGTTTCTATTTTGCCATTCACACAACTCTCTCAATTGCCCTCAGGATTTTATCAATGAAGCCAACTCCCACAAAGCTTAATGAGATCCCAGCAAGATTAACAAGCGTTGAAATTCAGCTGTCTTTAAGACTATGCTCTGCAGTTTCTCTCTTTTTTTTTTTTTTTTCTCCTGCTCTCAGTCATCTTCCCAATCAAAACCTGAGAACAGCTGTACACATGTGACCTCAGTGGCAGTCTAAGAAATTATCAGTGGGTTTTTTTACCATTTAGAAGAGTAGCCTTAGGTTTAGCTTTGTATTTTATACTAGGAGGAGCTCTAAGTGTACTGCAAAATGCAGGATTCTCTGTTCTGTCTTCTTCCTGTTGATTTTCTGCTCATGTATGTTATGAATTGCTTCACTGCCTACTGACATGGACCTGCTCTTGGCAGAGAATGAATTTCCCAATGATGAATAGCAATGCTATAGCACAGATAAGGTATTGTCCTTGATTTTCCTAACCGAAATTTCATGAGGAAATTAGGTCATTGGAATGTAATTACGTACACTGAAATCTCCTAAGGGCACTGGCTAGAGCTGTGCAAATGACTGATTATTTTGATTTGCTTACAGAGGCACAAAAATCAGAGGCAAAAATCAGTCTGAATAGAACAAAATGATTTCTTGTTCAACCTGAATTGAAACATGTTGTTGGTTCTGAGCTGTTCTTCACAGCTCATTAAGAGAATTAAAATAACATTGATTTTTTTTTTCTTTTTTTAAACTAAAAATCAGTGCACAAATGCAACATTGCCATTAACTCCAACAGCTTCTGAAGAGGAAATTCCAGGCTGATCAGAGTGAGCTCTCCAGGTTCACTTCTCTTAGAACACAAAGTCCCTTTTGTACCACAGTGGGTTTCTTAGAGCGCGCTTCCAGGAGGTGACTAATGCAGCTTCAGTTACTTTTTATCTATAAAGGAGGTGATCTTTGCCTGTTTTTCTGCTCCGAGGGACAGCCTGACTTCCAGACTGGGAGCTGAACTGGGCTGCTGTAGCTGTTCTGTTCTTCACAAAGCAGCTGAACATTCATGAGGTTTCATCCATAAAAAAAAATAAAATATACCTTTAGTTCTGATTCCTTTTATAAAGGCATCATTAGGACATATTTTGACTATCAAAAGAGAACTTATTTTTTACTAATACACAGTTTATTAAAATCATGTAATCTAAAAGAGTTTTGTGCCCAACACCAAGGCATGCAAGGAATGACTAAATCCACACACTTATACCCCCTCTATAGAGAGCCAGGTGCTCCGTTGGCTGGCCAGGCACTGCTTGGCTGTAGGCTGGCTTGTAACAGGAGTTGGCACAAGGGACTGTAAGGCCTCCTGCTCTAAGCACTTAATGGCAGCTGAACAGGGAATGCAGAATTATGATTATGGACTCAGGCAGCTGAGCTTTACCTTTCTTCTCATTCTTACATATTTAAGTCTGATTTTTGGATCTGGTTCTTGGCCTTTTCTCCTCAAGTCGCCATATATAAAAGATGGTCACAGCACTTCTCATCTTTGGTATTACTGCTTGATTAAATAAATCAAAAAGTGGACTGCATATGTTTTCCTATTTGAGTTGGTGCTGACACAGAACTTGGACTTGGCTCAGCATGTGCTCTGCTCTTGCACATTGTTTTTGAAATGTAACCCTGGCTGGAAGTATATATAAATAACATTTTTAAAAACCTTGTAAAAATGAGCTTAAGAATGTGATACACTTCACATTCTTAGTAGATTCTCTCTAGTGTTGTTAAGCTATTACTACAGAAATTGCATTGTGCGATTTTATGGGGATTCTTGTATTGCACAAATATTCTTTCCAAATCCTGCAGAATCCAAAGACCTCATCAGGTTTCCAGCACTGTCTAGAGAATATTCAAGAGAGACATTCTAAACTTATTCTTCTTTTTCTGCAGGCTGCTTTTCTGGAGACAATGACCACTTTTTGGCAATTCATCAGCGAAGGAGTGGGAAACCTGTGTTTATTTATCACCATGTGCAGAGTGTGGAGAAAAGTCTGGATACAGACAGTTATAAGAATTCCAAACAAAATTTTCATTCTTCTTCCCACACCAAAATAAGCAAGCTGCACCCTGCAATAATTGTTAAATCAACCTTACCCAGACCTGCCTACGACCCATCCCTCAATCTGTTAGCTATGACTGGTCAAGATTTGGAAGTGGAAAATCTTCCCATTCCTGCAACGAATGTGATTGTTGTGGTAAGTGCCTTTTTTTCTGAGTTCTGGAGTTGTTTTGTGAATAAATATGCCTGTAGATAAATATAGCCATAGATTGTAATCTGAGGTATCCAAAGTTCACATTCCGCTGCCTGGCTGATCATCAAAATAATGACCACACATCTTGAAGCTCTTCACTTCAGTAGAACTTGCATTTATATAGCTTCACCATGATCAACAAGCAATCTGATGAACCAGTGCAGAATATAGACTCTCTGTAGGTAAAGAACTTGCCTTTGCCTCAAACGCCTTTAATCCTCTTGTCTTGATTGGTATTTGCACTGCTTTTGCTGGGTGTATTTTAAACTTGCTCTGCATAGGGCACAAGAACACGTACTTTAGGGAACAATTCAACAGATGCAGGGAGATTTTAAAAGGCTGACGCAAAGGATTCATTCACTTCTATTTCTCCAGTGCATCCACCATTATGCTTGTGTAGCTATTTGAAAACAAGCCTGTTTCTTGCAAAGAATAAGAACTATATTTTTGTTGGTGTAAACCACATGCGCTCCTTCTGGAAGATACGGTTTGGGACCCTCCTCTTTCAGTTAACTATGTGCGTGATCTATCCCATTCTCTGAAAAGTCATGGTGGTGCTGCCTCCTGCAGTGGAGGGCACGTCAGTCGAATCTCATACTGATGCCACTCTGCTTCATCCTGAGCTTTCATGCTGGTGGAGCAGCATAACTGTCAGGAGACTTGTCTCCTGTGGAGCGCACAGCACAGTCTGTATATGCTCTGCACAGACACTGCTCTGCCTCACCCCGGTGCATAGGTAGCCCTGCTTGATTATGGAGAAGACCATTGGGCTCATTCTCTTTCCTGGAGGGAAGAACCACCATTCATACTGGCTCATGCACTCATTAGAGTGGACTAATAAAGATTAAACTGAAACAATGGGACTAATTACAATCAGCAGCTATTTGCCTAATTCTGTAAATGACTCTACAGAAGATGCTAGATTAAAAGAGAATGGCCTTTACAAACAAGGAAGGAAGACAGAGCACTCAACACTAGGGCACATTAGCACACAAAGTGTCTCAGAATCGCGTATGAGTTTCTCTAGAGACCTGCCCTCGTGAATGCACTGAATGCAATAAAGGCTAGTGACACAGAAAAGAATAATCGGGGGGAAAAAAAGGGTAATAATTTTATTAGTCTAACATTAACATTTTAACAGCTAAAAAATACTACCTGAGAACTAAGCTCAAAAAGCTGTGCTCTGGACTTGTTGCATCCCATATGAACAAGACCTGCTAATTTGAGATTAGATGGCTAGCACAGTGAATGGACTAGATTCAGTTGTATCTAAGTGTCCGTATCAGAGAAATATAACATAGTGACAGCCTTGCTTCACTGGGGACATGCCAACTGTACACACAGTCTCAATACTGAATGGTACTGATCAGGAAGAAGACATGCCAAGCAAGCTGGATACATCTATTCCCCAAGCTAGCCTAAACCAGCAGGGCCAACTCCATAGTGAAGGTACCTGCTCTCTTTTTTCCATAGCAAGCATTATTTCACCTCCTGTGAAGGTGAAACATTTCTGTTCGTGCAAGGAACTTAGAATATGCATGCCCTCTCATTTTTTCATTAAATGATGCTGTTAGCCATGGTCTGTTATTTTAGTAGAGCTTTGCACACTTTTGGAGACCCGCAGTCCTCAACTTGCAATGGAAGAATCCCGCAAAATATTCTGGGGCTATCCTGATTTTAGCTAACTGGCTCTGTGCCTGCATTAAAAGCTAAATGAGGCAAATTTTCAATTGGCAGTCACATAAAAAAAAGATCTATTAAATCTACATTAAGTTCTCATTAAGTGACCTCAGTCTGAAGCTTTGCTACCGCATTTCTAGGATGGAGCTGCTGCTCTGAAGCCTTCTGTTCTGGCTGAGAACCATATGTGCTTTAAGGGGGGGCATAACAGCATGAGCTAATCATGACATGAAAGCTGTTTGTTGCTTGGGATCTTCAACTATGTCTAGATGCGTTGAAGGACAGTGGTTTTGGTTTGGTTTTAATGTCATCCTGTCAGAAAAAAAGCCTTTGGGGAAGCCTATGTTTTAGAGCTGAGGTGCTGAGAGTCAGAGATCTCACTGGACTAATCCCACAATAAGGAATTTTGAAGGTGTCTTCCTCCAAAGAGCAGCTGTCCCACAGCAGGGTGGTTGCCATAATCCAAGCACAGCCCTGCTCCTTCCAGGTCTCTGCGCTTCAACATTTTGTTTCTCCCTCTTGAATTTCATGTTAAGGAGATGGTAATGTTAATGTCTGCCAAGGAAGCACGTTCTGTTTTGAATACATATATATCGCTCCCTTTATGTTTCAAACTAGTACTTACTGCTTGCTGCTGCTTTTCAGTTTTTGTCATATAGGGCAAGCGGCAACATTTGTTGTTTTGCCCTGGCTGACCCTTTTTGTTCCAGCCTTTAGCAATGTTGTTGGTTGCTCAACTTGAAAGGGCAATTGCTAGTGTTAATGCTTCCTGTAATCCAGTTACATGACCAGTGCACATTGTGATTTAGTATGAAAGCCAGCCATGGGGGTTATTTTTTAAAATAAATCAATGCTGTTGCAGCTCTGCAGAGGGGAGGAAACTGAATTCAATCTAATTTCGGTGACTTGAGGTCCATTTTCTTCATGATCAAGGTGGAAAGGTAGGGTAAATGGATGCCTAATGTAGAAATACACAAGGTTACATTTTGTGCTAAGGACTAGACCATCTGAGAAGCAAAAAGTTGCCAATGTGCCAGCGGAGTGCTACGAAGCCTAGAATTCTGCAGGTATTGTGTCAAAAAGTGATGTTTTGTGATTCTGTCAATGAAGAACACATGCTAAGAAGTAATTTTACTGAACCTGGGGAAATTGTAGTTCTTGTTTGCTGAAGGGAAGAAGAGGAGGGATTTATTTTCTGGGAGTGAGTTTTATATAACTGAAGGCTTTCCATCACTTTACACAGTATTAGGCTCCTGCCTTTTTTGTGTGCGTCTGTTCAATGCACGTTGTTTGTTGAGGGAAGTGAGGACAATCCAGAGCTCTTAGAAGCATTTTGACTGTTCTATGAATGCCTTAGTGCTTAACCATATGTTCTCTTTAGCTGTCTCTCTAAATGACATGAGATCAACTCATCTGAAAATTGCTTTGTTAGCATACGGGTTTACATATTTTTTTTTTGTAATGCTTGAGAGTGTTCTATTTGTATGGGTTTATTTTGGATGTCAGAAACTATACACTCATCGAACGTATTAGAGAGTTAGTAGTGAAATGAACAAGTTCCCCAAATGTTTATTTGTATTTATTCCAAGTCTTTACAATACTGAATGTGAGCACCACCAAGGTCAAGGCAGTACATGGAAAGTAGAAACAGGCTGTGGATAACCACTTGTGGTTAAAAATGTTGCTGTCTAACACACTTGTTAAAAAACCCAAGCTTACATACATGTGTATATATCGTTAGGACTGAACTTGAGTGAAAAGCAGAAGGACTTGTAAAGATTACAGCTCAGACTAGGTCTAAAGTATGACCTCATGGAGGTGCTAAAGCATCATCCTTTGTAACCTGATATAGTTTGGTCTGTCCAAAGTCTCTCGCAGGCACATGGGCGTGTTGTACTAAGGCTGGATCAAGATCCTCAGATGCTTTTTCCACTTGTATCTTGTGAAGTGTTTCAGAAATGTAAAGGTAATAAACTTGCTCAATATATCAAGATTTTCTCCTTCACACCTCATTAGTACTATGGACCTTCTTACATAAATATGAAAACCCGTCTCTATTTCTATTGCTTAGAAAGGTCATAGCACTGTACAGTTGCCTAAAATTCAGCACATCTCTTCAGTTTTGTTTGGTTTACATGAGTGTTACTGAACTGAGTTGATTTAATTAGAGTTTCTCTCAGCTAACGTCAATAGGACATAAGATTCACAGACAGGCACACAGAGCTTCTCTTTGCCTTTTCCGTGGCATTTTGTGTAAGGCTGGATGCCTCAGAGCTATCGCTCTGCCATACCATTACATCTGTGTTGTCACCAAGGTTTGAACCATTTACCCTCAAGCATAACTGAAGAGCACAATGTAGAGCTTCAGGTGCTGGTGCTTTGAGAGAGGATTCAGTGGCAGAGTAAAGCACATGAATGCGTGGATCTATAAGTACATATCCACATGTGAACTAGGTATTCAAGCTTCAGTATAGGCAGTGGAAATCTAGCCTATTGGTAGTCTATTAAGCTATCTAGCATTTTCTAAACAATTTCTGGATTATTAGAGAGTTAATATAAGTCAGGGACCATATCCAGTAGTTAGACTGGATGTGGTCATCCTGTTTTGGAGATTAGTACTGACATGGGCTATTTCCACATTGGTTTTCTCACTGCCAGAGAGCAATACCAGACACTTTTAACCTACCAATAGAACATAGTCTTGGTGTCTACTTCAGGGTGAGCTGAGCATCTCCCTAAGCCCAAACGACTGTAGTGACAAGATTTCTATTGATGATAGTGAGTGCTTAAGCACCAACTGCACACTGACTACTTACATATTTATACGTATTCGTACATGCTCAGAGGCATGTACATTTAGTGCCATCTTAATCTGGAGCTGATCCCAGCTTAAACAACACATTTTATATTTAAATAATGTGGAAATCCTTTCCAAATCTAGGCACAGTTCAAGTAGGTGGGCTGCTTCTGGGTGGCTTTGGGTAGCTGAAAACCATGATGCTGTCAAGCCACAGCAGAACTGCTTTTACACTTATGTCAAATTTATCCCACAAGTACTGCTATATCCTCTTGTCTAACTTTGCCCCCATACTACATACTCAGAGAAGATGCTTCTCTTGCTTGCTTACTGACAGGGCCATACACATATGAGTTCATTCCTCCATTGTTTTCCCCATTTCTTGATGCATTAGGTTTAATTACCAGTGTCAAGGCCCAGAACTCATCTAACTTTTTTTTAAATATATTTTATTTCATTATTCCCA